GACTTGAAGGAAATCTTCATTTAATTTGGTTTTATAACTATTGTCAAAAATCGCAATCTGCCTTGGGGAAAAACAGATTTTCTTTAAAATATGCCTTCCAAAATGTACCAGAATACTGACAAGTTTCATAACACTCAGGGACCCCTGAGGTGTCAAATTGACTACAGTACACTTGAAGGAGCTTAATACCAAAGAATCTGTGACAAATACTTCTGTTTTCATAAATATGGCCTGCTCATTGGAAGAAGGCCATTTCAATCTCAAATTGTTATTATTGCTTCCCACTCGCCCTCACGCACTGCAACTGAGTTGTGACTGACAGACACCCTACAGAAAAAGGTAGAACTGCCCTTGTAGGTTTCCTAGACTAACTCTTTACAGAAATAGAGAGCCTCATCTTTCTCTGGTTTCAAACTGCTAAGCTACATAACCAGGGTTGTTCAACAATGCTCCATCACTGTGCAAGAGTTGTCCCAATATTTCTCCTAGAGAACTCTTGTCAATTTGGTGTTTTTTTTAAAAAAAAGCTTTTAACAAGTTAAATCTTGGTTGAAAATCTGCCCCTACCACTACGGCCTTATACAAGAGGGCTTCAAAAAGTTCATGGACCAATACTATTATAATTCCATTTTTCACTTTTTGAAACATCCTTGGTCCTCAGGACATCAGCATTCTTTGTCATCAAATGTAACATTTATGGCACAATTACTGAACGTGAAAGGCAAGAAAGAAAGCAGAAAATAAAATCTAAAAGTGGATTTTTACATCTGTATAAAAGGTGAAGTAGCTGTAGTGGAAATTAGAGAGACCAGGAACACTGCATTCTTGTCTCTTGCATATCACTGCTAAACATGCAATCCCTGTCAGATATTCCAACTACTTAACAAATTCCATACAGAAATAGAAGTTTTCTCCAGGAAGATATAACTAAGCAAGTATAAGATATATATCCATGAGCTTTATTTAACTGTAACTTTTGTACCAATTTTCCTATGTATCTAAACCAAATGGCCTTTATTCCATACCAAATAAACTGCAAATAAGATTGTGTCTTGGATTCATAATTCATCCTTAAAGAATCCTTCTTATTCTTGGAATCTTACTTTGATTGCATTAAGTGGAGGTAAAGGATTGCTGCATATATATCAAGGACCAAAAAGATTCACAAGCATAAGGCATAAGCCCATTGTTCAGCAATGTGATAGGTTCAGGATATCTAGCAGTGTCCAGGGAAATGAATTAGGACACAGAAATATAGTCAGACATTGAAGAAGTGGCCCATGTCTCCTGTTTCCAACCCTACAAAACTGTAGGATTTCATGATAGGATAATCTACTCTTTTTTGGTTAAGAATTCTCAGAACAAGGATTCTGTACTCCTCACTCATTTTCATATAGTAAATGCCGACTCATAACGTGTCCACAGGGCAGGGGAGAACTGCCCGTGTGAGTTTCCTGGGGCTCTACTTTTTATGAGTGTTAGACCCAGCCTTCTTCCGCAGAGCTGGTGGTTTCGAACTGTTGACCTTCTGGTTAGCAGCCCAAGGCGAAACCACTATGGCCCTGCACTCCTAAAAGATTCCATAAACTCGGTATTAACTTCATTTGAATGCCTGGGCCAACTAGACATACTACTAACTCTTAAAATAATCCACATTAAGTGAGTACAAGTCAGTGTTATTCTTTTAAGAACCAAAGGAGGCTCAAATTGAAGCCTGAAAATTAAAAAACAAAAAGAAAACCACAAAGCAATGTTTTTCAATATTTTAATGGAAAACATACCTGGTCGGATTTCTAAAGCTGGACTAACAGTGTTTATATAGATTGTGCCAGTATATTTGAGAAACTAAATGAGAAAAAAATATAGACACAAATAAAAGGTGCGCCTGTCTTTTCAAAATAAATATATCACAATAATGCAAACTTTATTCTAAGAGCCCCCTCGAAAAATCTTAATTTATTGACAAAACTGTATGGTAAAGAAAAATCACTTCAAATTCTGTTTTTTGCCTCTATAGCAGTTATAAACTTGGTGCACTTTCCCAGAAAGCTTGGAAATATTAAGCAACTTTCCATTATCAATTTCTCTATTTTAAGTTAAGCTGCTGACCTGCTGTAAGTAAATATACATAAATTCGGCCTCAATTAAGAAATGAAGACAGCATTTAACTTTTCTTCTAGGGGAAGGTGAGTGAGTGAGTGAGTAGTTCTCTTTTGGCCTTTGATCAAATAACATTGATGGCTCTCCAAAGTACTTTTTTCTATTCACAACTCTCCCCCACCCCCACCCCCCCTCCGCTTTTTTCGTGCTGCTCATCTTCTACTTTGCATGTAAAGCCTGGGCTCCCAATTCCTGCTTCGGCCCTTCACTTTGTCCAACCCCATAAGGTGCCCCCAATTTACGCGCCTGGAGAGCCAGGGGACCCAGATCGCGAACTCCGCGGCGGGCACTAAGCACGCACGCTTGGGGCGGGCGGCTGTCACTGGAGAGCAGGCGTGGGCCAAGCCAAAGTGGTTTCTGACTGCTCGTCGCCAGGGCCCGCGCGGCTGAGGTCTCCGAGCACATCGTCCACCCAGGCAAGCCTGGAGTGCAGCTGTCGCGGAGCAGGAAGCCCGGCGCGGCCCCTGGGCCGCTTTGACAGGCCAAGTGGGAAAGGAAAAGAGCTGACTGCGGCGAGCAGCCGCACCGCAGCTAGGAGCCCTGGAAAGCTACAGCTCTGCCCGGCCCGAAGGCAAGAGGCCGACCGCGGATTCAGCCCCGCAGGGGCCCGCCTAGGGGCCACTCCCCAAGGCAGGCAGCCAGTCACTCGCTCGCCCTTCCAGGCCCGCTCCCAAAGGGACAGTCTCCCGCCCTCTCGCCCAGCTCCTCAGGTCAGGCCCCCAGGGCTCCACGTCCACCTCTCACCTTTGACGACGCGGTCAGCCCCTGGAGGGGGCGGCGGGAGCGGGGGTGGGGGCGGTGCGACCCGGGCCGGCTCCGGGGCGGCCATGCTGGGCCCGGGGCTCGGCTAGGCGTTGGGCCGGGCGGGGTAGGGGGCGGGGGCGGCGGCTACCAGAGCCAAGCGGCGGCGCCGCCGGGGAACATGGCCGACCCTCTTTTCCCTACTGAGGGGCTGAGACCGGCATGCATTGCGCGGACAGGGGCGGAGTAGGCTCTAGGGATTTGCTCAAAATTACCAAGGCTAGGTGAGAAACAGGAGGAAGCCAAGGGACCAGGTTAAAATTCTGTGCGTGCAGAAATAAGAGTGTTAGAGAAGGGGGAGGTTGCAGTTAGTTGCTTCCCTAAATGCGAGGAAACAGGAGATCTCTGTAAGGCAGGAAAACGTGATGAAACCTCAGGATCATCGACTGGTGGAATAAGAAGTGTATAACAATTCAGCTGTGAGTACTGGTACAAGAGTACAGGTGGCATCAGAGGTTCTAGGGCCGTGGTTCTCAACCTTCCTAAAGCCGCGACCCATTAATACAGTTCCTCATGTTGTGGTGACTGCCCCCAACCATAACATTATTTTCGTTGCTACTTCATAACTGTCATTTTGCTACTGTTATGAATAGTCGTGTAAATATGATATGCAGGATGTATTTTCATTGTTACAAATTGAACATAATAAGATGTAATTAAAGCATAGTGATCAATCACAAAACAATATGTAATTACATATTATGAAATTTTTATGTGTTTTACAATGGTCTTAGGTGACCCCTGTTAAAGGGTCGACCCCCAAAAGGGTTGCGACCCACGGGTTGAGAACCACTGTTCTACAGCAAGTCATGCGGCTTGAGAGAGAATTCTGGCCCTTGTGCTTAGAGTTTGGAATTGTTGAAAGTCTAAAGGTCAAGGATATGAATGCAGCTGCAGTAGGCTAAGCTGAAAATCATACAGGTAAGGAGAAGGGATGACATCAGGAGGTGTTCAAAGAAAGACTACAGAACACACCTGACAAAGGCACAACGTTCCTCTCCATTCCTTAAGAAAACAGAAATTGGAAGGCAGAGAAAGTTGGAAATTAACTCCTCCCTTCTGGGAGCATCTGCTATAACAAACAGAAGCCTGTGCTCAGGGCCCAGATTGCGAGGCATAGATACTTTGTCGCCTGTCATCATCTGAGGACATCATCTGCTCTTTGAAGACCAGGAGCTCGAGATCCTGGAACAGGACCTGAATCTGTAAAGGATTTCTGTGCACATATAGAATCTGGGGCCAAATGACTTAATGGGAACTTTATAGGGATCAGTGGGATGAGGAAAAAAAGTTCCTGCCCATCTCCTGCTAAATAACACTTTGGTTCATAATAACACATTGGATGTGAGAACTAGTTCCAAATCTTTTCATGACAGATATGGTAATAGGTAAGCAGTGATCCAAAGGTCTCAAAGGCAACTTTTCTACATCTGTGTATTAAGCTCAATGATCCTAGGATCTATAGTAAGAGGAGGGAAATGTCCAGTGGGTATTCTTTGCAAAGGAAGCTCACAAAATATCTTCCAGAGGACATGGGGCTGAAGTGAAAAGAGATCTTTCTGGCATGGAAGTGTCATAACTCTGCAAGGGAAAATGAGCTACGATAAACCAGGAAGGGATAGGAGGCACATCACAAACCTATGGGATAGGGGGAGAGCACCTTTACTACATACCCCAGGGATGAGTTAGTTAGGGGCGTTCAAACTCACAGAAAACCTCTCTTAAAAAAGAAAGAAAACCTCTCTAAGGAGGGGTGAAGGGAGAATTGTGATGTGTTAGTACCTCTAGCTGGAAAACAATAGAAAACGTGCTAGCAGCAGTCATGGCAATGAAAGTAAGTCGCTTCATTTTAAGGGCCACTGGCTCTCTATATGCATCAAGTCCTCACCTTTGCGCAGTCAACAAGGACATCTGTTTGTGTCAGAGCTTGCTGTTTGGCAGCTGCATTTGGGGCCATTGCGTATTGGTAGTTTTCACTTGCTTAGCCCTCCCCAGCCCAACACAAAACAGCAAGAACATACAAAAGGGAAGAACAAGGGTTTAAATAGAACTATCTTATAGATTTATTAGTGAAAAATACTTTACAAAAAACAGTATGTTTGGCCCTAAAATAGTTCAGCTGACTTTGAGAGTTTACAATGGCAACTAGGCAAATGGCAGTAATGGCTCTGCTGCTGGGGACAGGAGGACGTGTTAGTGTGCCTGACTCCATCTGATCAGAAAGGTGAACGTTCTGTGGGTAGCTCCACATTCCAGGCTAACGTTTGGGGACACAGAGAAGGGCGATAGGCCGTAAGACCTGGGCAGGTAGGCTATCCAGATGATTTTTGTCAAAACCATGACCACAGGGCTACCACATGTTCCTTCAAGGATGGGGCCAGGAAAAACAAGGGTCAAGTAACAGACATTGGTAGATCAAACAGATTAAACATTGGGACTACAGTAGTAATTAGAGCATGAGCGTTCAAGTGGAAATGGACACATTATGAGTATCCAGGCATAAAATGGTGACCTTAAGACAAGGAATGGCTAGTATCCACAGTAAGATTATGGATTCATCTGAAAGTGACTCAAATAAAGCCCAAAATAGTAGCTGCTGCTTCCTTTTGCTAACTGAATGGAAATTGGAACCTCAGGTATTTCTTCTCAAAGAGCCAAGTCTCCTTAGAAATCCCTGGCATCCCTAAGGAAAACGGGCAATTCTATGCTGAGATGAAACTGGCACAAACATGACAGGGCAGGGATGCAGGCTACCAGTCTGCCCACCGTGTTGTTTTATAAAGACTGGTATGGTTCCAAGAAAGGAAAGCCTGGCCCTTACCACCTGCTGTGCTGCAGGGTTCTGGCCCTGAGCTGTTCTTTTCTGGAGGCATCTGACAAAAACAACAGAAGCCCATCCCCAGTCCTCCTAGGCCCATACTGAGAGGCATAACTGTTTTGCCTCCAGTCATCCTCTGGGGGCATATCTACTCTTCGAGGACCAGGAGCTCTGGACTGCAGTGTAAGGCCTGAATTCCATCCTGATCTCTTGGGTGCGTGACGGCTGTTGGATACTGAGGACACATGGTGAACAATGGGAGGGTGGGAGGGTGAGTGGAAAAGATCCCCTGAGGTAGGAGCATGAGGAACCCCAAGTCCCTGGCATCTTTCTGGTAGTGTGGCAGTATGAGTTAGTGGAGGCTGGTACCCTGGATTGGTCAGAAATCTGCCCCCAACATGCTGGTTAGTCTCTGACCAGGGTCCCCAAGAAGAATCTGTCCTGGAACGATGGGGGAGACTCCGGTAGTTCAAAGTCCTTTCTGTGTACTTGATCCCTTGGGAAGTTTCACCCCTGTCACACACAGCCAGAAACTGCTGGACATTCCTCGAAGTTCCTGGGGAGAGAAAAGAAACCCAAAGACTGAGCATCATCACAAAATCATTCACCTTTCCAGCAGACCATTCCTGGCTGTTGCTCCTAACACCCCACCCCTCCAAGACCATATTCATAAAGGAAAGAAGAAAGCTAGCTTTACTTTCAATTTTTAAAAAAATTCTTAATAGCAATCAAAGTCAACATGGACAAATGAAACAGTGGCCTATATAGTTGTCCTACTTCTACTTCAATTCAATTTACCATCTTTCCTCCACAACACATGCATGCGCGCACGCGCGCGCACACACACACACACACACACAAATGGCTCTTTAATACAGCAAATTATGCAATTCTAATAACTACTCCTAAAGCTACTACTCCAAATGACCACTCAGCCTTTTTTTTAACATAGTACCTTCACTCCAATTCAGTGATTTTTGCGTACATTCTGGATCATGCTCACAGACATCTGAGTTTGTTTACACCACTCCTCCCACATGCACAAGAATGCCTTTTCTATACATATAGTCCCCTTTCTTTAAAAAATTTTTAAAAATCTAACTTATTAATTATGACTTTTAAAATACTTCCTTTATTTTATGACCTAGCTACATCTGCACTGTACGCTTGGGTGTATATTCTGATGATTTAAACTCTGGGCCCTTGGAGAACAGAAAGACTCTTTATCTTCTGATTTCACTGTAGCATGCATTAGAGAACAGGCTGTAATCAATGCTGCCTGATTGAGTAATGGTGCCAAGAAAGCGGAGTACTTGGTTGCTCCTATGATTAATAAGGAGTCCACATATCCTGAAGGCCCCCTTACCTAAAGCTCCATGAAATTTAGATATAAATACCAATAGTATTATTCTATCTTCTGTTCTAAAACATCCCCTTTCTTGTACTGAGAATCACTGCCTTAAACTATAGATGACATCCCATTTTATTAATAGCCCATGTGAAGGCAAAGAACATTTTGCTGTGGAGGATTTACACATATAGCATCGGTACTCCATGTATACAAAGTTTTTCTCTTTCCTATGCACCACTCCCTGTTCTCCTAGACTTCCCCTCAACTAAGACATAGGGGCCAGAAGGACAGAAAACCGGCTGACAAATTTTTTTGGGGGGGAAATCTTATAAAAACTGGGTATTAACTACCCTCAGACATTGAAAATGCATTTTTATGGATTTGTCAAATATGTACTCATGATGCTTATGTCCAATAAGTGATCCTATTCATCCAAGTCAGTGTTTCCCTAAAAGAGGCAATACTAGAATGGTCCAGGGGGAGCTGCAAAAGCAGATACCTACACTCTGTCCTAGATTATAGGTTATGATACAAGCCTATACCTTTTTAATTGAATGGTCAGAAGGCACTAAGTAAATTTCCCCCCCTAAAAAAGGGGGTTTGGTAACTTATGCTCAACATCTGATCTTAAAGCAGTAATTTATATCCTATACCACCCACCTTAGAGACCATTCCTCACCTCTTGGAAAGAGAGCGTGTTCCAGCATATAACATTAAATTTGGGAGGAGTTACCTGGGGCTCTATGGGGTTCCCCTGCCATGGTGGGCATCAGGACATCTGGGGGCAGGTACTGTGGTTGGGGAGGATATAGCTGGGGATCAAGGAGAAACACAGGAGGGTCATGGATGACAGAGAGAGAAGAGGAGCTGGAACAACGATGCCCGGATTCCAAAGGCTTTTTCCGCATGTTTGATGATTCCTTATAATGAGACAAGACAAAAACAAAAACACAGAGATGAGGATTCACACACAGCAGGATATGGTTGGGTAAACACAGGGAGGCAAGCAGGGGAACGAGGTAAGGAGCACAAACATGCCACTGTTCTGGAGAGCTGTGCCATTTACTCGGCTCCTTTCGGAAACACCCTAATCACCAGGAACTAGAAAGTACAAACGAATCTGCCTCCAGCCCTCGCCTTCCCAACCTTACCATCCAGATCTGCAGCAACCCCTAATGCTAACAGTAGAATTGCTCCAAGATAAACATTTTCCTGTTTTTGTCTTTAATACACATAGAAAGAATCAGAATACCAGATTGAATCCATTCTATTTTCTTTCCTGCCTGTTGCTACATATCAACCTCCTCTTTTGCCTGTCAAATATGTACTCATGATGCTTATGTCTGCTCTATTCGCAATTTTCTTTTGGGATAAAGTACCAGAAATAGCTTCTTCGACGTCTGGAATATAAAATGGCCAACACTAAACCATTAAACTTCTAGATTTCTTCTCCTGGTACCACGTTTTCCTAAGTCACTCAGGTTCAAATGTTTGCCTTGCCTTTGTTTTCCCACTTCCCATCTATAATTTCATTAGTACCTTTGCCAAGTACGGCCATTTCTACCGATGATTTATTTATTTATTTATTGGGTCCATAGGGTGTTTTACTTGTTTTGATGCATTACTTACATCCCTAGAAAAAGAAGCCCAGGATTTTTCCTCCCGTGTGTTTTCGCCTGGCTTCCTCGTGGTCCCTGATGCTGGCTGAGGTCGTCAGCACGATAAAACCAAACTGCCAGGACGGGGGCAGATTATTCTGCCACTTTTCTAGATCTTTGAGCTGCACATCAAATCTAGGCTGATCACTCCATACTTGTTTAACCTTCCCATGTTCTCAACAACTTTCCCAGCTCTGTGATCATCTATGATTTCAAATTTGCCAGTGCTTCACCATCACAGTTAGAAACGCAACAATGACTTTGGAGCACGGCCCGATAAGAACTTGATACTTGCCTCACTTCTCGGCATTATTGATGCTCTTGAGAGTGTTGGTCAGAACGTTCATGCACACCTTTATGGTTGCAAGGAAAGATGGCGGAAAACGCTCTACCTATGAGTTTTGCTTTTTAATGTACCTGGATCACTGTGGTAACTTCCAATCTTATCCTCTTCGCTCCAGTCTTCTACCTCTTTACCAACTTGTAAGGTTCTAGGTGACCCGGCCCTGCTGACTTTTCTCATTTTATTTCCCATCATTCTTATGTCTTTAGCACACTACTCAACCTTCTTTTTTTTAAATAATTATTTTATTGAGGGCTCATACAATTCTCACCGCAATCCATACATACATCCACTGTGTCAAGCACATATAATATGTACATTCTCTGCCCTCATCATTATCAAAACATTTGCTCTCCACTTCAGCCTTTAATATCAGTTGCTCATTTTCCCTCTCCCTCCCCACCCCCTCCCTCATGAAGCCTTCATAATTCACAACTTATTATAGTTTTGTCATAACCACTCAACCTTCTTAATGTTCCTCAAACACATCAAACTCATCCCTGCCCCGGGGCCTTTATATTTTATTTCTTCTTATAGTTCACACCTGAAATTACTGAGGTCTCTGATCAAACATTACTTTCTGAGAGATTATTTCCCTTGCCACACTATCTAACAGCCTAGAGCGTAACTACCACCGTCTCTTTCTAACCCTTTGCCTTGCTTTATCCTTCTCCATTGTTCTTTGAGGCTATCCCATTGGTTTCTTTTTTTATGATCTCTCGCCACTAGGAGAATACATTTCTTATTTACTTTAGTCCGTGAACAATCAGTTCAATGCATGCTCATATCACCTACCACGGCCTGGTATGTAATAGGCACATGAACAGAAGGCTGTATCTTACAATATAAAGACCAGGAACTCAGCTTCTCAACACAACTAACCACCACTCATTCTTCTTGAAATACTCTTCCCTTGATACCCATCACATCACATCACATCACACAATCCTGGCCCCACTTCTTTCCTCCTCTGGCCAATTCTGTTTCCTTCTAGGGCTCTGCAGGAGAAGAACCACTTTAAATCTGATATTCCTTAGGAGTACATTTTAGGTCCTCTCTTCCTTTTGCTCTGTTCTTTTCCATGGCTATGATTTCCAAATCTCAATTTCCAATTCACATGTCTCACATCTAAAGGTCAATCAGATATCACCACTCAAGTTTAATAAAATTGACCTCATCTCTTCCTTCAAATACATTCCATCTACTATGCTTTCGTTTTCAATTCAAAGTATCATCAACCTGTAAATTTATATATAATCCTTGATTCTCATCTCCCCATCATCCCCACATGCAGGCAGGCAGTCACCAAGTCCCACTGATTTTTTTACCTACAAATTGGCTCTCTAACATTTCTATTTCTCTTTATTCCCCCCAAACTCCAAACTATGACTTGCACCACTCTCTAGGGATCATGATCTGACCTTATTTGTATTTTTTCCAGTTTCACTTGCCAATTGTGTCCAACATCTCCCTTCACAATACTATCTAATTCTGCCATACCAAATGAGCTTCTTTTGACCCAGTTAATATAGGCTTCTGCGCTTTATAGAAGCTGGTCCTTTTATCTGCCCTAGTCTTTCTGCTACCCCAGAAAGCCTTCTCTAATCCCCAAAGCCTAGTTTAGATCAATCTCCTATTATGCTCTTGTAAATCAAATCCTTATTATATTATGTTACTAGTATGTTTTTCTGTTTTCCTATTAGTGTCTACTAGTAGATAAGTCCCATTCATGAGCAGGAACTATATCTAGCACACTCATCACTATATCCCCAGCACCTCATACATATGCTCAATAAGCGTTTAAAAAAAAGAATGCAGAAAGAAAATAAAAAGACGTAGCAATGATGAAACATACAACTTTCCTCTAGTTCCTAAATGCTTCCTCCTCCCAAGCTATCATGATCCCAATTCTACCTTGCAAGTCTAGCTAGACCAGAGGATGTACACTGGTACAGATAGGAACTGGAAACACAGGGAATCCAGGGCAGATGATCCCTCCAGGACCAGTGGTGTAAGTGGTGATACTGGGAGCATAGAGGGAGGGTGGGTTGGAAAGGGGGAACCGATTACAAGGATCTACATGTGACCTCCTTCCTGGGGGACGCACAACAGAAGAGTGGGTGAGGGGAGAAGTTGGACAGGACAAGATATGACAAAATAATAATTTATAAATTATCAAGGGTTTATGAGGGAGGGGAGCGGGAAGGGGGGGGAATGAGGAGCTGATGCCAGGGGCTTAGGTGGAGAGCAAATGTTTTGAGAATGATGAGGGCAATGAATGTACAAATGTGCTTTACACGATTGATGCATGTATGGATTGTGATAAGAGTTGTATGAGCCCCAAATCAAACAATTAAAAAAAAAGAAAAGAAAAAGGAAGCCAATACTCTTAGAAAAATAGCATTTTGTTATTAAATTCATCGAAAGTATTTGAGGCTAAATACTGGGCAGGACAGGAGAGACTGCATTTTTCAAAGCGAAATGGCAGGCTGTTCAGAGGTTTTTAGGAGTTTATGAATAATCACTTGGAAAAAATGAGGGTCTCTTGGGAGGGAAACTGGACTGAAGAACAGAGACATAATCTCATTGTATATCCTTTCGTTTGTTTTTGTTTTTTTTTTCATTGTATAGCCTTTTGTGTAATGTATTTACAACTTGTTTTTAAATTGCTATTCAAATGACCTGGTGGGCAAAAAACAAAAAAGGAAAAAATCAACTGCCTGAGGCAAGTATGTGAAATTCTTAAAAAAGATCCAACTCCCTTTAAACCTAGTCGCTGGCGGTATTTAAGTTAGTTGTTCTCTGCCGGCTGGCTTGTATTTCCTTGCCCTTTCGATGTACAGAGAGTATTGTATTAGTACTATGCAAAACAAGCAATTGTACTGTGGAGGCTTATGTTTTGCTGTGATGTTGAAAGTTATACCTTGATACTTTAAATTGCAGCAAAGTCATCTATGGTTGAAGAGGTTTTGGTACAGTTTCTAGACTAAGGCAGACTAGGAAGAAAGGACAGGTAATCTATTTACAAAAATTAGTCAATGGTAACCTAAACCTACAGATCAAGACAGAACACTGTCTGATTCACTTGCTTTGGAAACGTCATCAGGAAGGATCACTAGTGGAAGAAATCAAGTTCAGTAAAGTTGAAGACCAGTGAGGACAAGGGAGACCCACAGTGAGGCTTGGCACAATCACCTCAATGACAAGCTCAAACATGGTCTGGTGGGAATGACACAAGACTAGGCTACACTGTGTTCTGTTATACATATAAGATCACGGAGTTGGCCTTGACTCAATGACTATCTACCTACCTGTCAGCCATCAGTCTTCCATGTGAAAAGTTACATGGAGGGGATCTTAAATAATTTCCCTCGTCTCGTCAATCCACATGCTTTGCTCTAACCTGAAAGCACACTGGACCTTGCTCAATCATGTATTGTGGTGTAGAAGAAAAAGCAAAACAATACTTCACCGCATCTCTTCCTTCCTTTCTTTGATTTGTTTACCAAAATAATTTTTTGCTTCTCAGAGGCTCCTCTTAAGATACCTGTGACTCTTTTCACCTGGAGAATCCTTTAACACACTCTTCCAGAACTGCAACAACGAAGGGGCATGACTCTGGGCTCCAACTGGATGTGTACCAATAAAGTAATAGCTAAGTGTCCTCATTTTTGCTGAATGTGCATGGCTTTTCCTCAAATTACAACCTTCATTTGCTCCTGGCTCCCTTGCCTGCATTTTTATTTTGGCCTAACACGGGAAGGGAGGTGCTCTAAAGAGATGAACCCTGATACTACTTAGAAAATGAGGAAGACTGGAGCCTTCTCATTTTCTGAAACAACAGTGCCTGAGACTGCGTGAGGTACAGGAAAAGTGAGTGCAGCACAGTACTGTTTCCGTCACCCAACTCCCTGCTAGGGCCTTGGCAATGTACAGCCTTCAAACACAGACACATACAGGCAGGCACGGAATACCAGACCTAAGATTTTCCAACAGATTCTTAAGATTTTCCAACAGATTCTGCCCCCAGGTGCATGGATGATAATAGGGGAAGACTCAGTAAAGATATGAATCAGATATGTTTGAAAATAAACCAAAAAACAAGACCACTGCCAGTGAGGCAATTCCAACTAACAGTGAGGACAGATTAGAACTGCCTAATAAGTCTTCCAAGGCTGCTATCTTTGTGCAACATCTTTCTCCCATACAGTGGCTGGTGGGTTTGAATCACTGACCTTTTGCTTAACAGCCAAGAACTTAACCACAATGCCATAGGGGTTCTTAAGCCCAATCATAGACACTTTTATTCACATACACACATATGTACATATGCACACATACCCCGTAATCATGTCTGTCTTATCACTAACCCAACCACTCACATGTCTTCACATTTCCTTCCCCAACAAACACACCCAGACAAAGCATATGAGGCTACTACCTGAGAAGCTGCCACTGTGCTGGCTTCACAGACACTGTATTCCATTTCTGCTGTTGGGGTCTTTGAGAGACCAAGGCCAGGGGCCGAGTGCAGCCTCCTCCCCATGCCATCTGCAGTGCCTGAGAAGGAAAAATCATGACAAATGGAAACTACTTCTTGTTCTGAGCATGGCAAACAAACTCATGAGTTCTATCACGAGCCTTGGGTCTCAAGACCATGGTCTTGTGAGACACAAAAGTGGCATAACACAGTCCCAAAAGACAATGTTCTACATCTTGCCCTGGTAGAAAACAACTGGGGTCTTAAAAGCTCACAAGCAGCCATCTAAGTTATAAGCTATTAGCCTAACCCTGCCTAAGGATAGGAGTGATAAAAATCAAAGACACATGAAAATAATTAGTTCAATGGACTAGTGGGCCATATAAGAATCAGCCTCCACGACTTTGAAACCATAACTGGAAGTTCCCCAGTTTATCACTACCAATATGGACCTCAAAATCATAAAATAGACCAGTTTTACAAGTCTCATGGAGACCAGTGAAATCCCTGAGACCATGACCCTTAGTCACCCTTCAGGTAAAATGAACTAGAAATGAACTCATCCTTGTGGCTCAAACTTTAGCCAAACAATAGGCAGGACTGTAAGGGGAATGAGAACACTAGTGAGGGACTACACTTTAGATTGCCATTTGCAATTCAAAGGGCAACATTTACCCAAGGATAAAGTTCAGAATGGTTAGGAAAGAAGCAGGAATGGAAACAGGAAATAAATGGGGAGGAAGTGGAATAAATAATGTTACATTGAAGGGTGAGGTAGTTATTTTATTGTGCCAACTTGGCCGATAAACACATGTGGGGTTAATTGAAGGGCAGAGGGACAAATGGCTCGGTGAGCCTTGCCTTTCTAGTTCTCGGGTCTATTGCTTTCTGATGGGCCAGGGTGTAGCTGCCTTAGCCAGTTCCCTGTTTCAGCTGACAAGGCTGAGTTCCTACAAGACATCCCTGAGGAGAAGCCACATGGACCTACCCCGATGCAGCCCTGGGTGCTGGAGCACCCCATGTGGAGACCCCTGGCAGCGCTGAGATGCTTACACATTCACTGACTTGGCTTTCTTCCTACAGTCGGCATCATTGCGTCTGTTTTGTGAAATGGAGTAGGATTTTGTGGATTGGTGTTGGACATATGGGTTAATGTTGGACTTGTGGGCTTGGGCAGTACTGGGTTGGGGTGTTTTCTTGATGCGCACTTAACCTTTATATAAAACTCTCTCTTATACATGAGTTTCTGTGGATTTGTTTCTCTCAAGTACCCAGACTAACACAAGGGGATTGCAAAGAATGAGCTTAAATCAAGTGTAGAAACTGTTAAGTATAAAAATGATTATCTGCTCCATAAACCTTCACCCAATTTACAATCATTTATTCTTTTAAAAGGAGAAGACTAGTGAGCCCTTTCAGGAATCTGATGTGGGTAACTGCACAGGGCTGTGGAGAGGCACGGGTAGAAGCTGTCTCGAGCTGTTAGTCAAGAGATTTGGTTGTTAAGCAACATGTACAGTCCCCTTATTTCCTAAGAAAGAGATTACGTTTCTAACAGGTCACTGATGCACGATTTTTCCCATCCTGGTTATCATTTCAGTACACCCACATTTTACAAATTCAGGTTTATTCCAGTGATGCTTCATTGGCCAAGACTGAATGAGGATCTAAGGCTATTACTTGGCAGACTACCACCACCACAACCACCTCCACTCCCTTCTAATTTTGCCCTCCTGCTTTCACCTTTTAGAGGGCCCCTTGATCATGCTTGGCTTACCTGTTTGGCTAAATGTGTCCCAGGACACATCCTGCTGCCCCCATTTAGAACAGCTAGCTTGAGAAGCCTGAAGACTGGCCTGGTAGAGAGACTCCAATTCTGAGGTCTCCTGCTCTGTGTCTTGGTTCCAATGTGGATGCAAAAGGACGTGGTTTCTTTCAGGATAGGGTATGCAGGTATGGGGAGTAGGTGGAGAGGACTTCACTTCTGGCCCAGAGACCCCATATTTAAGCTGAGAATCATAGAGCCTTGTGGCATTGACCCAGGAATCCCAAGGCAAGGAAGTCCCCCCATCAATGCTACCGCCCAGCTCCTTGGGTCTAGCATCTCTCACTTGGGATGGCTGCCCTTTGTATTTTTCTGGCTCTACAAATGTGGACTGTTCTCTCCAAGAAGTTTCCCCATTAGGCAACCCAAAGTTCACGGCCAGATGACCAGTAGGGTTTTCCCAAGAAGGAAGTCTATCCCTACCATCCAGAGAAGGTGGCGGTTTCGCCCAAAGCCTATGACTTTTCCCTTGATCTTGTGGGAAAGGAGACATAGAGTCAGAAGGGGAAGAGTTCTTCCTCAGATTACTTGGCAAACTTCTATCCTGGGAACTTCTATCATCCTTTGTGGAGGGACCTTGCATCCTCTGGAACTGCTCTGCCAGAGAGCGGACAAGCCCCTTTGTGTTGGGAAATTCTGACCTATAGGGGTCCTCACTGCCTCCCTCCACTTTTGAAGTCAATGAGGTTTGGGGGCTTTTGGCTTGGAGGCATTGGTTAGTGTTCTGCACAGGATCAGGAGAGGGAAGCACAGACGGGGAAGCAGTAAGCCTTATGAGATGGCATTCCCTGTGTTGGGGAAGACTTGGCTGAGCTGATAAACTTGAAGGACTACAGCTGGGGCTATGTGCCCCACCTCTTTCAGAAGGGGTTGTTGCAGGTGGGTGTGACCAAGGCAACACCAGGGGGAGCTCATCAGGATCTCTCTTTTCTTGGAAAAGTTGTTCTTGAGCAATTCCTCTTCCTTTCTGTGAAGGTAGGCTGCTGCAACTGCTGTTGGCACCCCTGTAGCGTTGCAGTTTACATTCTAGGGTGTCCAATGGCTCCCGACAATGATGAGGATTCTTTACAGTCCTCCCTGGTGTTTTAGGTAAACTGTGACTCTGGAATGCAGAGGGGTCAGCGCTGTCTGCATCAACCAAAATCAGAAGGCTTGAGGCAGGTCTGTCAGAGGAGCTGTGCTGCGAGGCAGACGGGGCGGGAGCCTCGGGGGATGGTGATGAGTATGACTCTTGGCAAGGAGTGGATGAGTGGAAGAAAGAACTGGCCCCCATCTCTGTGTCCGTGCAAGGTGCCAGCGGGGCCTCCCGCCTCAACAGTACTTGGAGCGGGATAGGTTGTTCACTGAAATAAATGGAAAGAGTCGGTCAAGAGCTGCCTGGATTGACAAGAATGCTTTTAAAAAATTATTTTTTAAAAACTCTGTCCACTCCATTCCAATATCTAGCTAGCTACAGGAGAAACAGTGAAAGCAAATGGAGAGATAAGCACAAAAACAGTCAACAGTTCAAAAGTTCACAAGAGAAGGCACATGGTCAGCGAACAGTAAAAAGTAGACAGACTCCTCAGGACTATAAGGGTCCATTCCTATCACATTCTCCTGTACTTAAAAATTAAAAACAAAAGTTGCTAGTCCCACATGCAGATGGCAGGGAAGAGAAGCAAAGCCTGGACATCACTCATACCGGACAGAGAAGTCCAGGATGCTCCGGCGGGAGGGAAGTCTTAGGTGGGGTTGGGAAGGGTTGCCCTGGCCAAGGGACCAAGAGGCCTCAACTCCAGGGTACAGAGTGATTTGGACTGAGGAGATGAGATGGAGAGGGCCATCTCAAATGTTTTCATAAGCTGATTGGTAATATTAGTCATTGAAATGTCCCCAAAATAATGTACTATGACTCTCTTGAGGTAGAGATTAATTGTGAGAGTAGAGATTAATTGTGTTTAGTTGATTCCTCAGTAATTGCTTTGTATTTGTGACCTAAAAAATGCAGTGCTACCAACCTCAATTGCTCCTATATACCAAGTAGTATAAGAATCATTCTGGAAAGAGTTTAGCAGCCTAAAATGTCTACATCAAATTATCTGATTAGCAGTCCAACAGGAGAACACAGAAGGAGAAAACAAGAAAAAGGAAGATCCTAGATATGAACATAAAATCCGAATGACAATATACTATACACTTTCTTCAGTACAGTTACCCAGTTATCCTTACAATGTTGCGGGACACCCAATCATAAAAGGTAGTATTATATGATAGTTAAGGACATGAGCTTTGAAGTCAAATAGACCTGGGTTTGAATTACATGACTCTGCCACTTACTAGCTTTATAATTGGGGGTACATCACTTATTTTATTTTGTCTGGGCTACAGCTTTCTTATCTAGAAAATGAGAAAAATAATAAAAATATATTACCTTAGTGTCTGGGTCTAACCAAATATTGAAAACATTATATATATATATTAAAATGTATAAAATGCTGAAAAAATATATATCTATAACATTATATGAGGGGGTACCCCCACCCCCCCCTCAAAAAACAGAAAGAAGCTCCACTGGGTGGAGCTTTCATAGTATACATTTTTCCCACTAGACAAGCATACAGCAACTGGCTCTGAGTTAGTGCACCTAGTGGTGTCTCCTGGGAAGGTTCTCTCGAAACTGGTCACAATTTCACTTGAATCACGCTTTTTGTGATGGGCGATTTAAAAGAACAGCATGTGGCTGTAAAATTTTGTTTCAAGAAAAATGCCACAGAAACTGTTGTGATGTTGAACATAGCTTACAAGGACAGCAGTGTGGGGAAGCTCAAGTGTACAGTGGTTTTCTCATTTCAAAAGAGGTGAAATGTTGATTGATGACAAACCTTGTTCTGGATGTCTGTCAATTTTCTGAACGGGCAAAAATGTCGACAAAATTGACGTACTTAAAAAAAAAAAATTGGACCAACGATGGACCACTGCAGAGATGGAGAGGGCATGTGGACTACCTGTGAATTCTAACAGAAGATTGGGGGGTGAGACGGTGGCTGTGACATGTGTGCCTCAGGTTCTGACTGACCAGGAAAAAGAGTGTGGACTGGAAACTTGCTGGGCTTGGAAAGAGCCCTCCAGAGTGACCCAGACTTTCCCCCCCACCCAAGGTCATTACTGGTGAGGAGACATGGTACTATTGTTACAACCCCAAAATCAAACATCAATGAAGTGAGTGGAAGATGCCATCGTCACCTCTTCCAAAAGAAGCTTGTCCAGGGAAATCAAAGATCAAGACAATGTACTTTTGTTTTTTTTATGTGAGGAGAGTGCTCTGGAGTTCATTCCACCATGTCAAACTGTTAATCAAGCTTTCTATTTAGAGGTTCTGAAAAGATTGCATAACAGTGTACAACAAAAAGGCCTGATTTGTGGCAGATGGGAGACTAGCTTTGCCATGACAATGCACCTGCTCACGCAGCCATCTCAGTGTGCCAGTTTTTGGCAAAAAACAGCACGCCTCTCTTGCCCCACACACCTTACTCGCCTGACCTCACTCCATGTGACTATTTTTGTTTCCGCAAATGAAGAGGGACATGAAAGGACAGCAATTTGACAACTTAGAAGAGGTGAAGAAAAAAATGAGGGAGGTGCTGTCAGCCATTCAAACAGATGATTTTGAAAAATGTTTCGAAGAATGAAATCACAGATTTGACAAATGTATTAAGTGTAAAGGAGAGTACTTTGAAGGTGATAAGGTTGTTCTGTAAAAAAAAAAAAAAAGTAAATACATGGCTTTGAAAAAGAAATTCTTGTTTGGGGGTACCCAGTGTGTACATACATATACAATGTTATATATATGTACATATATGTTTTCAACATTTGGTTAGATCCAGGCACATGTATATATGTGGGTTTTAATATATTTAACTATATATATCTATAATTACCCAAACATATTAATAGACAAAATCAATTTTCACTTAAATCAATTTATACTGAGTAAAAGCCAAATTCATGGACTTCATGTAGGAACTAGAGCAATGGCTACTGCGGATTTTCTACATAAGAAAGCAAAACAAAAGTAGTGTTTGTGTCTCTTCTCTATGGTGCCCAATAAGGAAAAGACTGCTCTCTCTGTTTCTTTGAGACACAGGAAGCACTAAAATCCCAAAATAAGTCACATAATTGCAATCTCAATATGAAAGGTAGCTTATAGCCATGTCTAAGAACCTATTATGTACAAATATAGTAACTGTGCTAGAACACAAGCCCAAGAATAAAATCATCTACAGGAAATTTAGAGAGGCGGACTAATGCTTATGCTATACATTTTTTTGCAGGTTCCCAGGAAGTCTTAATGAAAAGAATTGAGTTTTTCATTGTGGGTCTGACCTGAGAAGGAAATCTTCTTAGAGGACTCCTCTCTCCCCTGTAGCCACCAAGACTATGGAGCACCCCTGGTTACTGCCTCCCCTGATGTCCATAAACTAAAGTGGTTCCTGGGCACTACCTGGTTGGCTGAGGAGGGACCCCCCCTTGTGAAGGGAGGCAGGCTGAGGGCTGCGACGGCTGCTGTGGTGATTGCTGCTGCTGCATGCGATCCTGCAGAGTCCGTGCTTTTCGAATACTGATTTGCAACTTCTTATCGATTAGGGCTCTGTTGTGCGTGCTAGAGCTGGCACCATGCAGGGCAAGTCTTAGTTTAGCTAAAATGCAAAAGAAAATATAACAGAAACAACCCAAAACACAAACAGAAATTAAAATAATAAAATTGAACCAAAAATGAGCAAAGATATGCATCAAAACTCAAAATATGCAGCAGGATTGCAAGGCATGGACCATGCAGATGCTGTCCAGGACACGGGCTGGCTCCAGCTATAAGGGACAGTCATGGAACTCAGAGAGCCAAGCCGGCTAATTCAAATGAAAAAAGAACAAAATCAACAAACTCAACTAAAATGAATTAAGGAGATAAACTGGCGCTTTCATCTTGAGGCTGCCACTCTCCTCCTTTGCAACTGACCAGTCCGAATCTGGTCTCCACATTCTGCTCCCAACCACTCTTTCCTGTTGGCCAATAGCAGACATAAGATCTAAACTTGCACCTGTCTTTGTAAGAGCTTTCTTGTGGTTCAAATTTAAGAATTAGCCACCAATTCTCAATCTCAGCCCAATGATTGACCAAGACAGGGGAGAAGTCTAGTGGAGAATCCAGTATTGCAGTGTGAAGTCACAGGCAATTTATTCCGTTCTTCCTGCCATCAGTAGTCAGTGACTATGAAGAAAGCGCAGACTAGCTTCACTTGGAGGTATAAGTTTACTTTGGGACAAGATAGCAGGAAGGCATGGGTGAAGATGTCATCTGTGGAGTCTTGCTGAGGCTCTTCCAGTAAATACCTGTAGACCACAGTGACAGCCCCTATGGTCTATGAGTATTTACTGGAATATATATTATATATATATATGTACATACATATACTGGAGGGCAATATATCTGGGGGACAAAGATAGCTAAAGGGCCTCCTCCGTTTGGGAGAAGGAGAGTGAGGAGACATAAGACTGTTTTTATTCCATCTGAATGACGACACTAAGAACACTTGTAAAATTAGTCAAAAGTGCCATAGCCATAGCAGTTAGTTACTTACAGATTGCTTCGTTACAGATAGCCAAAGCTGCAGCACAGTCTCCCTTCTGTTCCAGATGCATTGACTCTTCAAACAGTGAATCTGCCTCTTGAAGGGACCTCTCAAAGCCGTCACTCCTCCCTGAAAGGGCCAGCACTTTTCATTTTCATTACATTTCTTTCTAAGCTTTCCTATGGACTGTCGTCCTTCAGTGCACACAGATCCCGGGGGCTGAGCTTCTACTCCACCCTTTGGCCATTGCTATTAAGAACTAAGTCAAAGATTCATTTTTATCTGGAACCTCGATATTATCAAAGGCCATTAAAGAGGAGCATATCATTGCCCAGTACATATTCCAATTCCATGACCTCTACAGAGTTCCTCCAGCCAAAACCGAAGAATTATCTATAGCAGAGGGCAAGTTCCTAAGCCGGGAACTGAACTGCTCTGCTATAGCACAAGCAGACTGCCTCTTACTTCCACCGAGACTGCCACTGGTACGTTATGGCGAAGGCAGTTTTACTATTCTGTGGAAACCACCCAGAGCACTTCTGACTTCTACACAGTCCTCTGGTACCACCCTAAATAACAAAACTAGCACATCTCTTAGACACACAGATGGTCTTTGGATCATAACTTCAGTATATCCACCAGGGCAGCTGACTTGCCCTTGTTGGCATGTGTGTACTTTCGTCAGCACTACTAAGTATTCACTTTTATTATCCTTCGTTCATGAATTTATTCCAAAAAAGTCACCTCTCCACACAGGGGGCATGGAATATTCCTTCTTCGCCTATGGTGAACATGCATCAAAGCAGGTGCAGAAAAGTCCAAATACAAAACCAGATAAAAACACTAGAAAATACTATTAGAACTTTTGTAAAAGAATCCTTAGGTCATGTACATACACCTCCCCACTTGTTCTCTACTCACTGATAGCCAAAATCGGTAACAACCTACATGATAAGTTCACCTACAATATGAATTAATGGTAGATTTTCCCAAGGTCACAAGGAGAGAAAAAAATGTCCGAATCATCTTCCACTTACCTCCAACTGGGAATGTTAAGAAAGGTTCCTTCCATATCCCTAACACTCACTCCCTAATTTATCATCGGCTTATACATCTGATTAGATTCAATGGAATTTTATAACACAACAGAAAGATGATGGAAGATAGCAGGTTGATTCTGAAGTTTTCTTATAACATTTGAAATCAATTAAATCTATATAATCTCTAAAATCAGAGATGGTAGTTACAGCCATTGAAAAATTAATAGCAAACAAAACCAGTTATACTTTATAAATATCTAGACAAACTACTATTGATTAATCACAATACTATCTTAATCAAGGTACTATATTTCAAACCTTATTTTTCATAATTTTAGCACTGTATTCATTGCTTTTCCAGAAAAGGGTACAGCAAGGTGTATGAGAAAAACCCATTGCCATTAAATGGATTCCGACTCATAGAGATCCCACAGGACAGTGTAGAAAACTCCCTAGGGTTTAGGATTATGTAAATATTCATGAGAACAAATGGCCTCATCTATTTCCAACAGAACAGCAGGTAGATTTGAACTGCTGACCTTATGGTTAGAAGTCCATTGCATAACCCACTATGCCACCAGGGTTCCTGTATGTGAAACACTGCCCCTAAACAAGCCTAAGTATCTCTAAGTGTTACATTAATGAAAAGATGGAAGTGGTCATCAGAAAGCAACCAGTGAAAACAGCACTGACTCATGCCCTTCACACTGGCTTAACACAGTCTGTTAGGGCTGAGAGTTCTGAGTAGTAAGAATGATAACGATAAAGAATGAAATTTGATCAAAGAAAAGCTGAGGTCGAAGTCTCAAGTCCTATTAAAGGCAGGTACCTCAGGTTTGTTGGACTCCTGTTTCATGCCTTTGACACAAAAGTGGTGCAGTAGGTTAACTGCTGGGCTGTTAACCAGCCACTAGCTGTTCCAAAAGAAAAACATGAGGCAGCCTGCTTCTGTAAAGACTTGCAGATTCAGAAACCCTATGAAGCTATTCAACTCTGTCCTAAAGGATTACTTACTATGAGTTGGAATGAACTTGACAGCAGTGAGGTGTTTTGGTGTTTTTTTGGCACAGAGTAACATCCTAAAGAAATCCCTGGAATTGAAAACAGGGACTGATATGGGACAGTTGAGAAAAGTAAAGTCCAGCAAACTATTAGAGACCAGAGGACAAGTCAGTCAGTGAGGATGAAAAGGCAGCGTTCTCTGCTCTTGCTTGACTGACCCACTTCACTGAAGCCACACAGTTGAATTGTCAAAGGTATGTTAAAGCCAGCAAGTAAAATGGCCCTCACTGTCAGGATGTTTTACTGCTTCTTCTGCTGCTTCTGAGTTCAGTTTTATTCGTAGTTTCGTAGTCTCTGTAGATGTTCATAGGAAATGATTCTCATTAATAATATACTCTTTCTCTAAACTGAAAGCTTCCAGGATGTCCCACCAAATCAGTGCCTATCTCCAACAAACAGCCTCCTACTTTAAATAGCTCTAACTGGAATATGGAACTAGGGTAATATGAATTAAAATAGAACTTTGCTAAGTGTACTCAGGTTGGAATGTAACCTCTTGTAATTTGATCTCCCTCTAGACCCCATGTGAATTTATTCTAAATTTTCAATATTCTCTGCTTTCTAATTAGATTGAGGTTTCTATCAGTTTCATGTGACATCGCTGATGGGTCCTTGCTTGGTGTCTGCGCTTGTCTTGAATAGTTATTATCTGTTTCGAAAAACTGGATTGATGATTACCTGGGGGCCTGGGAGGAAGAGGAAGTGGGAAAAGGGAAACCGACACCAATGTGTAAAAGAAAGTTCCAAAGTTGATTGTGGAGATGATTGTACAGCCCTTCTTGAGATGACTGAACCACTGAATTGTTAACAATTATGCTAATTATGCCATTTATGTACCATTTAAATATAAAATAAAACATGATGTTGTGATATTAAATATGAAAAGTATATGGTATTAAACATGAAAATTTATATATAAACCATTGAATATGATCATTATAACTGTATGTATGTATGCATGTGTATATACTGGCTTAAGAGAATTTACTACTTTGGATATTTTTCCTTTCTTATGTCCCATAACCCACACCCTAAAGCTCACTGAAATTACCCTGATTCTGTAATTCATCCAAGTCCATAAACCGGCTGGGATGAGGGTTAAAGCCCTTAGCTGCCTCTAATTCCTTCTCTCGTTTCCTTTGAAGCTCCTGTTCCTGGGCTCTCCTGGCCACTTCTTCTTGGAGCTCATCCAGTTCACTTTTGGAAGATATTTCTCCACCTGGAATACATGCAAGGAACAGTGATAAATTCGCACATTTCCTTAATCAGACTAAATACTTTCTGAGGCCACCGCACTACTTTTCCTTCAGAACTTTTGGCTTCAATTCTGAGTTAACAGTTTAGATACCACTTTCTAGATGTGACTGAGGATAGGATCTAGGTATGGAATAATATTTATCGAGTATTTCATAACACGACAACATTTGCTTGCACATGTATTATGTGTCAGGTAAAGTTTTAAGCACTTTGGCATGTCGCTATTGTTAGGCGCCTGCTAGGTGGCTCCGACGCAGAGTGACCCTATGTACAACAGGACATGTGAAACTAATGAAGCTGACAGCCTGTGCCACCCTCACAACCGTCCTGTTTGAATCCACTCTTGTATGAACTGTGCCAAATGGTTTCGTGGATGATCTTCCTCTTTTTCGCTGACCTTCTATTTTACCAAGCATGATGTTCTTTTCCAGGGGTTGGTCTCTACTGATAGTATGTCCAAAGTATGTGATATTGAGGTCATCCTTGCTTCTAAGGAACATTGTGGTTATTTCCCAAAACATACTTGTTTGTTCTTCTGGCAGTCTAGGGTATGTTCATTATTCACTGCCAATATCACACTTCAAATGCATCAATTCTTCCCCTGTCTTCCTTATTATTATCCTTCCTTATTGTCCAGCTTTCACATACATTTGAGGCAATTGAAAACACCATGGTCAGGTGCTCCTTAGTCCTCAAAGTACTATCTTTGTTCTTTAGCACCTTAACAGGTCTCTCGCAGTAGATTTGGACAATGCAATGCATTTGACTGCTATTTCCATATACACTGATTTTGGATCCACATAAAGTGGAAACTTGGTAACTTCAATCTTTTTGCCATTTATCATGATGTTGTCTATTGGTCTAGTTGCTATGATTGCTGTTTTCTTTACATTGAATTGTAATCTGTATTCATGGTTGTAGTGTTTGATCTTCATCAATAAGAGCTTGCAGCAAACTAATTTATACCACCTGCATATTGAAAATTGTTAACGAGCCTTCCTCCAATTCTGAGGCTGCATTCTTCTTCATATTGTCCAGTTTCTCTGATTATTTGCTCAGCATATAGATGGAATAAATATGAAGAAAAATTACAACACTGATACACATCTTTCCTGATTTTAAACTATGCATTATCCTCTTGTTCGGTACGAAAGACTGCTTTTTTTTTTTAAGACTGTTTTTGAATCTGTGTATAGATTCTGCCACAGCACATTGATGTGTTCTGGAATTCTCATTCTTCCCAAAGTTATTTATTTTGCTATCAATACAGTTGAATGCCTTAGCATAGTCAATAAAACACAAGTAAGTATATTTCTGGTATTCTCTACTTTCAGCCAATAGCCATCTCCATCTGACATCAGTAAAACTCCTCATTCCACTTCCCCTTCTGAATCTGGCTTGGGTTTCTGGCAGCTCCCTGTTGATGTACTGCTACAACAATTTAAAAAATTACCTTCATCACAAAATGTTACTTGTAGCAGTGTGCATGCTCTGGTCTAATCCAATTTGTAAGAATTGAGGTCATGATAGTGGGGGGAAGGAAGCACCAAAGAACTAGAGGAAAGTTTTGTGTTTCATCGGTGCTATACAGCACCCTGACTGGCTCATCTCTTCCCTGTGACCCCTCTGTGAGGGAATCCAGGAGAGATAAACCCCTCAGGGCCAACAAGGAGAGTAGAGATACCAGGAGGATTAGGGGAAGGTGGGGGGAGAAAGGGGGAATTGATCACAAGGATCAACCTAGAACCCCCTCCCAGGGAGACAAATAATAGAAAAGTGGGTGAGGGGTGAGGGAGGATGATGTAAGATATGGAAAAAAGAATCTATAACTTATTAAGGGTTCGTGAGGGAAGGTGGGCAGGGGAGGGAGGGGGAAGAAATGGGGAGCTGATATCAGGGGCTCAAGTGGGAAGAGAA